CATTAGGGAAGAAAAAACCAATATATAACTACTTTGTTGAAGAAAAAAAAAGTTCTAAGGCCATATAATGAATATATATAATACATACGTACATGACAATATAAGAATGTTTATATATTTATTGGAAGTTAACTAAATAAATCATTAGTGTGGCTTAAGATTTGTATAAATATATATAAGTACATAATATAATAATATAAAATATACTGAAATGTAGTGGTCCATTCCCGTCTTCATATATTAATGTTAGATGGATCACATTTTCTACCTCAATGATATACTTCAGAAGAGTTTTTTTCCTTCTCAATTTTTTGTTATTAAAGTGACATATCGTGAATAACATGACAATATTTAAGTATTAAAGATAGATGAAGCTTTGAATAGAACTCAAAGTAACGAATAAAACACTACCACATCAATTGAAAACTCCAAACTTTAAAAAAAAAAAATATATATATATATATATATATTCTAAACGGGGAGGATTCGGGTTGGGGATTAAAATACCATCCCCGCCCCTCCTCGAACACCATACCCAAAAAATTCCCCGTACCCGTCCCCATACCCGTTTTTTGTCCTTTATACCCAACCCATTAGGGTCGAATCCCCACGAAGACCCTTACCTGCGGGGAAAATTGCCATCCCTAATTGTGTGTCGTGTATTAGTAACGAGTTTAATGGCCTTTCTTCTGGAACTTTCCTTTCCCTAAAGACATTACATAACTAAAACGTATGGACCATTTTCCGCAAATTTCCATGCACAATTCTTGTAAATTGGAATGGTAAAAAAAGAAGGGAAAAACAATTGGAAAAAAGTGTGAAATGGTAAAAAAAAAGAAGGAAAAAACACATTGGAAAAAAGTAAAATTCCGTTGCCGGGACTTGAACCCGGGTCTTTCGGGTGAGAGCCGAATATCCTGACCAACTAGACTACAACGGATTTGTGATATCTTTTCGCGCTTTTTATTTATATCTGTTGTCATTCAAGCCAAACACGATAGTCCGTCAGTGCCATCTTTGTTTTTCGGCAACGAAGGAGGGTTTTAGCGTGTAGCCTTCTCTTCTCTATGCGTCTTTCCTATCCGTTGTAGAAGACGCTGCTACACAGCCCACCGCAAGACAGTCTTCTTCAACCCCTTTTACCTTCCACCATCAGCCCATCAGGTATGCTATTTTTCTTCTTAATATCTGTCCCTCTTTTTTCCGCTATGAATTCCAATTGATTTTAAAAAATGCATGAGGGTAACTCTGGAAACTGCTCAAAACCCCGAATTCACAGTTTCTTCAAAGTTGTAAAATAATTCAACCCCAGCTAGGAGTTTCCGTAGTTGAATCATTGCAAGTACAGAAAATAGGGATTTGGGCAGCCTATGATGATTCAAATGCATTTTCCTGTTGGGTTTATACTGCTGGAATACTACAAATGTCATACAAAATGATTGAATTGCTTATAAAGAGAAGAAGACTTGCAATTTCTGGGTGCCGTTTTATTGATTGTGTTTATTTGTTTTGGTTTCAGAGAGTATCAGAAAGATGATTGCTGTATCTGGACTGACTGGTAGTCCCTCCAGATGCTGTTTCCAAATTCCAGTACGCAGTTCCGGTTCACTATGTGGGCGAGTTTCAAATTTCCCTCATAGTTGGAAGCCTGCAGGAAAGAATGAGCTACTTCGTGGGGAAAGGTATAGCTCTTCTTGCAGTATCGATTATCGAATTCAGTACAGTGGTTGCAATGTGTTTTATTTTTGTTTCCTTTTGCAATCAAACAGAAGTTATTGGACTGGTTTTACACAAAGATTGAATGCACGAAAAACACATCTGCTCAAGTTTTCCATGGATGCATCGTATGGTGATATTCCAAATGAACCAACTGGTAAGTTTCACCTTATTGTTTTTGGGGGCTGTTGTGTTTTTCTTTAATTTTTTCTCTGTGTCTATACTTTTGTATATCTATCTCATATAAGTCTGGATGCTCACGTAGTCATGTGTCATGTCCTTCAACTTTCACCTTACCGACCTTTCTTGCACACAATAGAGTGGAAAACTGGAATTTGTAAACATGACATAGATGTCACCTTACGGCCTTTGATTTGTCTAAATTTGCTTATCGAGTCGAACCAAAGCAATTTTTTTATGTATTTCTAGGAGGCTTGACATCAGTAACTTGGTTAGTTTAGAAATATCTCATTGAACTGATATATTAATGTCAACCTGATTCTTTCTGGTAGATACTTATAATTTATGAAGTAGCATCTTTAGCTCTCTGAACTTTTTTTTGTTCTTAACTGCCTCTGCAAGTAAAGCTATCTTTCCTAGGATTAATGTGAGGGACCCATACAAACGACTTGGAATAAGCAGGGAGGCTTCTGAAGATGAGATCCAAGGTGCAAGGAACTTCCTTATCCGACAGTATGCAGGTCACAAACCAAGTGTGGACGCAATTGAATCAGCACATGACAAAATAATCATGCAGCAGTTTTATGACAGAAAGAACCCAAAAATTGACTTTAAAAAAAAGGTTAGGGAAGTCAATCAGTCTCGTATTGTGCAGGCGGTGAGAAATAGGTTTCGAACTCCATCCACAAAGTTCATTATAAAAACGTCCATTGCGTTTGTCGTGCTTGGAGCTCTCACTGTTCTATTTCCAACCGAAGAGGGTCCAACCCTTCAGGTAGCCATTTCCTTGTTGGCTACCATCTACTTTGTATATGACAGGCTGAAGAGCAAATTACGAGCTGTGCTCTACAGGTATATAAATAATTTATGTATATTTGTATAATTTTCTATTGATTTTTCCATACAGGACGATTGAATTTTTCTGTATTGACAAAAGATTCTGAAAACACACTAGTTCTTGTAAGGACCCATCACTCAGAATTTGTAATACTTTAGTATCATCAGTATTCTTGAATAACCTTATTGAAACTAACCAAATCATGCTAAATATTCCAAAATGATGACATATTCTCTTCTTTCACTCCAAATTTAATTGCGTATTTTGAGTCCTCTGACATTCGAACTAGGAAAGGTGGCAACAGTGAAAAGGTTTCTATTAAATGTTTGCTTTGGTGCAGTGCTGGAGCATTTGTTTTCTCATGGCTCGTGGGAACCTTCTTGATGGTGTCTGTGATTCCACCCATACTCAAAGGACCAAGAAGTTTTGAGTTGACAACTTCGTTGATAACCTACGGCCTACTCTGGGTCTCGTCTACTTATCTGAAGTAATTTCTGTTCTTAAGGCAAACCTCAATTTTGTCGGATTTGGAAACCACAGATTTTCTTGGAGATTTAGCTCATGTGTCCTTTATAGTGATAGTGCTGATAATTCTGGCAAATTGTGATGACGAGGCTCCTAGTTTTAGAAGATATTTGTTTTCCATCGTTTGGAGAAAGGGTGTAAAATTAGATGAAAGAGATCGGTTTAAGCAATTGACCTTTTGTGTCCTTTTTGTGAATTATTATAATCAATCAATTATCTTTGTTTCTACATAAATGGAGCCTCAAGTGTGCATTTTGTGTGCCCTCTTGTAATGAGGGAATCAAATCTGTCTGCAAACATAAGCTGACAAGTTGTGACATTGGTGGACATGATAGAACTTGTGTACCCTCCAATTCACTTGAGCTGCAAGTGTCCCAGCAACTGGGTGGTTGTGATTGGTTTGGTTTCAAGTCTTCCTAATTCTTCCAAATCTTGATGGGGAGATGATTGAGGACAGGTCATGGAACCTGTTCCTAAAGATCTTCCCATGACCTTTTGGGTGAGTTGTGATGTGTTTTTTCCCCCCAACTTATTATGTTGTAAATCTAGAGGCCTACAATTGCAAGATCTTTTGGACTATGAACCCATGAGTTTCAAAAGAAGCACATGAGAGTTTCAAGGACCAAAATGCGAATCGGTCACAATTTCAAGAACTAAACCATTTTTTGAATTTCATTGAAAATACCCGATTCAAAGGAAATATATATATAAAAAATAAGGATTCTGGCCAAAAGTAAATCGCAACTGTGGAACTATGTAGATATTTAGAACTTGTTGAAACTTATTTCATATGTAATAAAGGAAAATACAGTAGAAAATTTGGTAAATTGGAATTAATATTTTTCTTTTCTTTACTCTTCTGTATTGTGTTAAGGCTAAAAGGCAAAGAAGAAATTCGACCAAAAAAAAAAGGCAAAGAAGAAAATAAAAGAAAAAAAAAAACCTTGGCTTATAATCAATTTCATTTTTTCTGGTTTCACAAAGTTGCGTAAACCCAGCCATGAATTTGTACAACCAAGCCATGGCATGCCAAGTAGGCAACTTGTCTCCCCCACCAGGCAATCACTCATTGGCAAATGCATCACAGCCTCAAACCACATATCTCAGAGCAAAGCCCTGCAACTTTTTTCTGGTTTCACAAAGTTGCGTAACCCCAGCCATGAATTTGTACAACCAAGCCATGGCATGCCAAGTAGGCAACTTGTCTCCCCCACCAGGCAATCACTCATTGGCAAATGCATCACAGCCTCAAACCACATATCTCAGAGCAAAGCCCTGCAACTATAAATACAGTAAATTTACACCAAATCCTTGTGTGAAAGAGAAGGCAAAAAACAAAGAGAGCTTGTGACAGGGAGAGAATAACAGAGTAAATTTACACCAAATCCTTGTGTGAAAGAGAAGGCAAAAAACAAAGAGAGCTTGTGACAGGGAGAGAATAACAGAGAACAACAAGAAGTCTTTATATCAGATACTTTTAAGAGACAATGCCCTCTGCTTCTCTTCTCAAGTCAGCCCCAGTTTTAGGCAAGCCAGAATGGCTGAAGGGCCAAGCTCTTCCCCAACCTCCAGCCTCTGTGGTCAGATACAACCCAGTTGCCTCCTCTGCTCTTAGTGTGAGAGCTAGCAGCTCATATGCTGACGAGCTTGTCAAAACCGCAGTATGTATTTTCAGTTCAACATGGCCTTGTTGTTTTTATCAATTTTTCAGTGTATGAATTTTGTTTGGATGGTTTGTAGAAAACTGTCGCGTCTCCGGAGCGTGGAATTCTGGCCATGGATGAATCAAATGCTACTTGTGGGAAAAGACTTGCCTCCATTGGACTGGAAAACACTGAGGCTAGTCGCCAGGCATACCGGACCCTGCTCGTTACAGTTCCCGGGCTTGGGCAGTACATCTCAGGTGCCATCCTCTTTGAGGAGACACTCTACCAATCCACAACTGATGGCAGGAAAATTGTTGATGTGCTTGTTGAGCAGAACATTGTCCCCGGCATTAAGGTCGACAAGGTAAGCCAAACAACATTCTTGTATCAGATATCTGACATGTTATGTTTTCAGATTGTGTTACAATCGAAAGCTTGATGATGAGCACTGCAGGGTCTGGTTCCTTTGGCCGGATCAAACAACGAGTCATGGTGCCAAGGTCTTGATGGCCTTGCCTCTCGCTCTGCTTCTTATTACCAACAGGGTGCTCGTTTTGCAAAATGGTAGAGTATATTTGTTGCTCTATTTTACACAAGTTTGAAGTAATTTTTTTTCTTTTTGAAACCATTTGAAAGTGACAATTTGTTCTTGTTGTTCTATGGCCACTTTGGCGATTGTCTTTGAGTTTCATTTGTATAGTAAATGTATGTTTTTAATTACTTGTTTATCGAATAGGCGAACCGTTATTAGCATTCCAAATGGCCCATCTGAACTGGCTGTGAAGGAAGCAGCCTGGGGTTTGGCTCGTTATGCTGCCATCTCTCAGGTAACAATAAAATGATATAGAAACCAATTGCTAATTTTCTGGTATGTTTCTTTTTTCAGTCTATTTTGCCTATTTTTTTTTAATGGTGGACATTTTTGCTATGTGACCTTACAGGACAATGGTTTGGTACCAATTGTTGAGCCAGAGATCTTGCTTGATGGAGATCATGGGATTGACAGGACCTTTGAAGTGGCTAAGAAAGTGTGGGCAGGGGTGTTCTTCTACCTCTCCCAGAACAATGTCTTGTTTGAAGGCATCCTTCTCAAGCCAAGCATGGTCACTCCTGGTGCAGAGGCCAAGGACAGAGCCACACCAGAACAAGTTGCTGACTACACCCTCAGGCTCCTCCACCAACGAATCCCCCCTGCTGTCCCGGGAATCATGGCAAGCACCCCATAACTCTTTGTCTTAAAATAGTACCTTGAAGTTGACATTGAAAAGATAATTAAATGGAAGCTTAAAGGCTAAAACTTTGTACTTTGAAGTTTATTTTGGTTGCTTCTAATTTTGTGGAACTCATGCTTTGATTGTGCAGTTTTTGTCTGGTGGGCTGTCAGAGGTAGAGGCTACATTGAACCTGAATGCAATGAACCAAGCTCCCAACCCATGGCATGTATCGTTCTCATATGCAAGAGCCCTCCAAAACACTTGCCTTAAGAAGTGGGGAGGAAGACCTGAGAATGTGAAGGAGGTTCAAGAAGCTCTGCTAGTCAGGGCAAAGGCCAACTCTCTTGCTCAGCTTGGAAAATACACAGGTGAAGGGGAGTCTGAGGAATCAAAGCAAGGCATGTTTGTCAAGGGCTACGTTTACTAGGCTTAGGCTAGCTGCTAAATCCTCCAATTAACCATGTAAATCAAGTCGTTTACGAGATTGAGATTAATATAAAGGGTTTTTATCACGAACGGCTGTCCTTAATTTTTTGGTCAATGCATCAGTTTGGTCCTTAACCTAATATACTATGGGACGCTTAGCTAATATCATTTTCATTCATAGCTTGCATTTAGCCCCATTATCCCCACATATTCTTTTGTGCAAACCATATGGGGTGTTGACTTTTGACTTCACAAATGAATAGGAACCTTCTAAAGCACAAAGAAAACTCTTTGAAACTTGAACAGCTTGCACCATCTTTTTCCTTGCTGCCCAAGTTTCCCACTCTTCCAACTCATTATAAAACTCCTCTCCCCCTTCAGCTTTCTCCACATCCCAACTTCAGCTCAACCAATTGAAGTCAAAAAGAGTTGACCACAATGTTTAGCCTCAAAGATGCACCCACAACAGCATCCACTCTCTTCTCAGCCTATGCCTCCTTTGCAGCCTCCATGATGCTGGTCCGATCCATGGCAGACCAGCTCATCCCCCGCCAGCTCCACTCCTACATCTACTCAAGCCTCAGCTACCTTTTTACCCCTCTCTCCTCCCACCTCACTCTCATTATCGACGAGCACTCTGGCATGACACGCAACCAAGTCTATGACGCTGCCGAGCTCTACCTCCGGACCAAGATCAGTCCGTTGACCGAACGTCTTCGGGTCAGCAAAACCCCTCGAAAGAAGACCATTAGCCTTTCCATTGACCAAGGCCAACAAGTCAACGACACATTTGACAACGTTAAACTAACATGGCGTTATGTCTGCTCCTCCGATCAGCGATCTGAATCCCAAAACCACAGCCTCCGCCGTCACAACAACAACAACAACAACAACAACCAGTCTAGTGAAAAGCGTTGCTTTGAGCTAACATTCCACAAGAAACACAAAGACAAAGTGGTTGACTTTTACTTGCCTCATGTGTTTGCTCAGGCCAATGCAATCAAACAGAAAGAAAAAGTCGTGAAACTTTACACCCGAGATCCATGCTTGGGCGATGACGAGAACGGCATGGGTTCGAGCATTTGGGGTTCTGTAAATCTGGAGCATCCAGCTACATTTGAGACGATGGCCATGGAGCCGGGGCTTAAGAGAGCCATTGTAGAGGACATGGACAGGTTTGTGAGGAGGAGGGAGTTTTATAAGAAAGTGGGCAAGGCTTGGAAAAGAGGCTACTTGTTGTATGGCCCTCCTGGGACTGGAAAATCGAGCTTGATTGCGGCCATGGCTAATTATCTCAAGTTTGATGTGTATGATTTGGAGCTCGCCAGTATTCACAGCAACTATGATCTGAGGAGGATATTGCTGTCCACTACCAACCGTTCGATTTTGGTGATTGAGGACATTGATTGCAGTCTGGAAATGCACGACCGGCAGTTCGATGAGCAGCAGCAGTGTGTGTGTATCAACAACAATCTAACAACAGGGTCAGTGCTCAGTGCTCTGTTTATTTATTTTATTTGTTAAGTTTTGTGTATATATAATATAATAAGTTTCTAAAGCGGACCTATTCAATTGCAGTTGACTCTCTCAGGCCTACTGAATTTTATAGATGGCTTGTGGTCAAGCTGTGGTGATGAGAGAATCATTGTGTTCACCACAAACCACAAGGATAGACTTGACCCAGCTTTGCTGCGTCCCGGTCGAATGGACGTCCACATTCACATGTCCTATTGCACCACAAGTGGGTTCAGGATCTTGGCATCTAACTACCTTGGCTTCCATGGCGACAACGACCCTCATCAGCTTTGGGGAGAGATTGAAGGGTTGATAGAGAGCGCAGAGGTCACCCCAGCAGAGGTTGCCGAGGAGCTCATGAAGAGTGATGATGTTGATGTTGCTCTGGACGGACTTGCTAATTTCCTCAAACGTAATAAGGTCGAGAACGATGAAACAGAGGAAGGGGCTAATAAGCTTGAAAATCAAGAAGCAAAGAGGCAAAAAATGGACGACCACAATGTAAACAAAATTGGTGAGGGAGGATTTGGAAGAGGAAGAGGAAGAGGAAGACTGATGAAACAATGAGTTGTTAAAAATGTAAAATGAAAAACATAAATAATATATATGCCCCATCGGCAGTTGGGAAAAGAAGGGAAAAAAAAGGAGAAAAGTCTCGTAAGCTTTTCATTGATGTTGCAATAACATGGAAGTAGCAAAAGAAAAAGACTTTATACCTATACATACGATCTGTGTACATACGGGGATTATCCTTGCTAGATTAATAATCAAACATCTGTTGAGAAGGTAGAGGTGAGATTGAGATTAGTTATACAAACACATCGCACATCACATAAAGTATATTACATGTAGCTCCTACCAGATTCTTCGCATTCAGACAGCCACAAGTCAATGTGTTCTACAAGTTGCTGCCTTACTTTGTTGACTGCATCAGGGTTGCTGCAGTTCTGGGAATTGCCTGAAACGGAGAAGCCATAGATTCTAATAAATACAACATCAGAATGGGAAAATTATCAACAAGAACATCCATCCATGAAAATCAAGTTCGGACCCAAAGTATCCAACGTTGAGGCGCATTTAATGCCCTTTATAAACATGGGAAACTTCCCATGGCTGCCAAAATTAAAAAGTGCATGTTGATAACAAAACCCAGCTACTCCACAATTTTCTTCTTCAACCCGGGATAAACTTGGAATTGAGTAATTTCTTAACTTGGAAAAAATATTCGGCTACTAGGTAGTTTTTCCATTTCCATATTTTTGTGCATTTTTTTCTTTCATCCTTGTTCTTTCTTTGCAAATATACAGAGAAAGGTGGTTGGGGAGGAGGGGCAACACACAACAAACACAAGGGAATTGACATCCCATACCACGTCTGCACCCAGAACCACAAAACTAAAGGTCGCAATCTGGTATGCACGCTTTCTATCAGTAAAAAGATGGAAGAAATTTAACTGAAGGATATATAATCCCAAACTGGCTCCAAAAGCAATCTGGAAAACTTAATATGATCCCAAACTGGCTCCACAAAGGGGAATTTCAAACCTTCATCTTAATAATAAGCAAACCTTGTGCTGGCATTTTCATAACCAATTGTATTCTAAATAAAAACAAATATAAATACAGACGAATAAAACTTACCTTCAAGAGTTAAAGGAGACTGAGGACATCCTCTCAAATCAGTTCCATGACCACAATTATGGCAATTGATGATGTAGGAAGGCACTGAAAGTTTATTTTACAAAAAATGAGTTCAGTAAACGAGAGTACAGAGAGATCTAAGAGTATGTAAAATAAGTGAAAGTCTATCAAATGTCTGATCCCTTCTAAAGACTTTCCATAACAGTTCAACACATGTCTCCAAGGCACAGTAAACGTGCAATATCCTTAGAATACCAGTTTAAAACTGCTGCAGATGAAACTACCCAAACGAAATTTGGTGGTACAAAGATTAGATCTGTAACGTATCAAGAGTAAACTCATAGGTGAAAATTCCTTCTTGGTACAAAAGACTGGGTACAATTTAGTCTAGAATATCAAGCATGATACAAAGCAACATTGTTCAAACATTTTCAAATCAGAGCATAGGATAACAATAATGAGACTTCTCGTCAAAGCAATAGGATACTCACTATCTGGAGATGAAGTCTGTTTGGATGCATGACGCCAGGGATCCTGTGAGCCATTTGTAAAAACTATTTTTGAACCTGCAGATTCATTTTTCATAAGATCAAGTGAACCAATGATAAATACCCAGATGTGTCTTCATTTAGAAAAATCAGGAAAATGAATAAATGGTGATAAAGGTTAAGAGCTAAAATGAAAGAGTAGATAGAAATGATGCTACTAAATAGTAATATATAATTACTGGGAAAAGTTTGACCTGCAATTTTTGTGCCTCCATAATATATATTTGTTGCAACAACATCAGGATAGACACCCTCTCCAAAAACATTCTTACAAAGGTCTAAATGGTATCTGCAACAATGAAAAACTATCAACCAGAGATGCCTAGAAGCGCTACAAAGTAGAAATGATAAAAATGTAATACTTGGATCAAAGCATTTTCAGAAACATACCTTGTGTCGACTTTTGAAGACCGGATGCTATCATTTGCAGGTGCCACCTGAAAATATGCAACTTCAGTACAAACTTGGAACCACCACAACCGATCAGAACTGGCCTCACTAACAGCAGTGTTCTTCAAGTGTTTCTGATTATATGTTTCAACGTCAACGCCAAAACTTCCAAGGTAATACTCTTTAACGTATTTGGCATACGCATCCTGCAAGGAGATTACTTTTTTCCATTAGAAACATTAGACATTTAGAGAAAAATGATATATGCATCTTCGTTCTTCATGAAGCATAAGGTCAAGAACCAGATGATTAGCACCGCTTACAACTTACCAAGTTAAAACAATCTTCTTCTCTTTTTTTTTTCTGTTTTTCTTTTACTCTCCTTGGAAGTTAGAATTATTATAAATAAATAAAAATACAGCATAAACAATGAATTCATATTAAAAACTAAACAGAGGAAATGTGCAATAGAAATTTCATGCTACCGCTAGAGTTGAAATTAGAAATATTGCATAAAGAGGTAATTCATTTGGACACTGAAAGCTAGACTACAATTCATGTAAACATTCTGACATAAGACAAGCAAAGTAACTGTAGGCTAATTATAGAACACAATGGACCACGATTGTTCAATTAAAGAACCAAACGGAATGTTAAGAAGAGGAACATACCACCAAATCCTCTCCATTGTTCTTTGCTTGAACAAGAGGGGAGCATAACTTATCTGGATTTCCATATTGAAACTGAAAATGTTCAAACAAATAATAATCACTAATTTGAGAAACTGAAAACTGATTGATAAAACTAAGAAAGAAGTAATATTTACCGCTATAACAGCAGCATCCGCCAGAAAATACAAGAAATCACCTTCAATATCAAGCTGCAAACAGACTTAAGGTCAAGATGCGAGGTGGATAGTATTAAAGAAAATCCTACCGGCGTGAGACTAGAGTCATGCTTTGAAAGTATATCATGATTTACAAATGATGAATGGAAGGGATGAAAAATTCAACCTGGGTTGCACCAAACAACGCCTTTACTGCTTTCCCGTTGGTTGCAAGCCTTCCTTCAACAAGACGAGTAGTTTCTTGTAGTGCAGCTTTACATTCCGGACCGGCAGACTCACCAATCTGCATTTGGATAGGATTGAAGTTAAGAGCAACAGGGTTGAGGCAGAGACCACAGAACTACAATCTCATTCTCATGTTAAAGGGGAAAGAAACCTATTAACATTGTAGTCACCTGCTGGTCAAATTCAGGAAAGTTATAAACAGCTTGAACAACTGCAGAACTTGCAAGACTTCCACATGTTAAATGAGGAAACTTGAGTCGAAACCATGCACTCATAGCTCCGGAGTACGAGACACCAAATATGAACCACGGATTTTCCTTGGTTTTATTCAGCTTCACATTTAACGATTCCTAAAAATAATTAAGCGAAAAAAACCAGTAAACTACAAGCTCAATTGGGCCATTTTCTAACTGAAGACAATCAAATTCAAAAAATTGAAAGATGGGCTTGCCTGATAAAACTGACGGAAAACAGCCAAATCGAAAAGCGCCTGCTTTGATGATAAATACTTCAAGTTCTCTGTTGTATGTGATTTGAAAGGAGAACTTTTTCCATAGTATCGATGCTCAGGCGAAACCACAGCTGCCCCAAACTTCTTCGCCAAAACCTGCACAACGAGACTTCACTTCAACAATTTTACAAGAAGTTGCGATTTTTTTCCAATTTATAACCTTTTTGAAGAAATCAAAAATCAAACTTACACTTAGGTAATCATTAGATATACCGGGGCACGCGGATTCTCCGCAAATTTTGAGAAAAATTGGACCGTCCGATGGTCTGAAGTAGTCAAGAAATTCATAGTAGCGCTGGGGGAATCTGCGGTGGTCATAAGGAGAGAAGTGGTCGAGGGTTTGATCAAACCAGAGCTCCTCCTTCGTCAAGTAATTGCCGTTTCCGGACAAGCTCTGAAGCTGAAGCAGAGTTGGAGGCCTCACAAAGCCATATGAGAGCGTCCAAAACGTCGTCGTTAACAAGAGCGTGAACGAGAACGACTTCGTCATCGGAAGTCGCCTCATCGTCGTCCCGATTGATTGGCGGTGGTTCCTCTGTCAAAGTCTCAGCTCAACAGAAAAAAAAGAACACTGTTTCTATACAACAGCAGCAAGCAAGCAATCCTTTGTCTTTTGTTGTTTTACTTTGGGTAGGGACCGGTTTTTACAGTTTATTTTGGAGGGCCGATGTACCGGCCCAAATTTTTGGTAGTCTTATTGTGGGCCGTTGACTGTGCTTCAGTTGTCTCGTGTGGAAATGTAGAACAAGTATTGGATCACCAGCTTATCAAAAATTTCATTGAAAATCCAAATGCTTCTCCCATTAAAAAACACTTTCATTTAGTTTTATCAATGGAAGATTCGAACTTTGAACCTCTTCCGGAGAAGAAGTACCAATTTTCAGTATTGAAAACATCATAGATTTAGACGAGACTACACCTTCACCTGGCTCGAAGCAAATAAATTATTACGTTACGTTCAATTAGAACACTCCCAATCATTTTTAGGTTTTGATTAAGTGCAAAGCTAAACCTTAGGTTCCTCCATAAACCCATTATTCCTTTGTTCAGATTGTTGTATGCTCTAGTCTCATATTCCTCTGCTTGCAGTTTTAAGCAAACCGTTTTCGAGTTCCTAAAGAATTCAGCATGTAATTTATGAAAAAATAAAATTCTCAAATTTTAGTGCCATTACAAGAGAGTCCTCATTTTTGTATGAGTACTTGCAAAAATTCCAAAACAAACAAAACTAAAGGTACTATGACATGAGTTGCACTAAATAATGATATTTTGCTTTTGAAGCAAGTTATGGATGCTTTCCAACTATATATCCTGCACAACTAAACTACATAATGGGGAACACTCTCCAAACCTTAATGATCATATGCCTACTTAAAAGCTCCACTTGAAGCAGCAGATAACCGAGGCATATGATGAAGCACCCTTCCGGCAACTGGTGAAGTAATCTGCAGGAGCTGATGCTTCCGGATATGTTGCATTAGTCCTGTTTAAGAACAAGAGATGCTTGTTGCTTAAATGTACTGGTAGGCATCACAATTAATCAATACATGGTTTGAAATATGAAAAGCCAACAAGTTAAGCATTGATTGAATCTCCTATAGAGAGAATGGTTCTGTTTAAGTTATGCCCAAGGTTGTAGAATTGCAATCTTTCAGTTCAGCTTCAAAGCAAAAAGAAGAGAATACAATGAGAACTTGAAGTGCGTCATTTATATACTTATGAAATGCAAGAAAGGAATAGATATATAGGGAATGGGAACTCTTTTCTTCTTATACTGAAAAAAATATTATAATTCTCAACTTATGAGCATGCTTCAATTTCTTCTTACATCAATTTGGAGTTCCTATTTCAGCTGCCTTCCCAGCTTCAATTTCTTAGCTTATGAATTAAACAAGCTTGTTTTTTAAGTTCACTTGCACATAAATGATAAACTTTTCAATTTATTAACCACTTTTTTCATGCCCATACAAGCAACTATGATCTAGTTCTTGCAATTTACTAACCACTGAACACTGAAAACACTCTAACCTCTTTATTTGAAGCTTGTTCATGCATCCGATGAGGCTTCATGTTCAAATCAATCAATTTAGTATCCATCTTTACATGCCCATCAGCATTGGCATCTGATATACGAATAGGAGACGCTCTGTGATTTTGCTGGTTCTCTCCTATTGTCATTCTAGGTGGCTGATGTTGTACTCTTCTGGTCTCACCCGGATCAACGGGTTGGGAAGCCGGGTCATCAACATTACCAGGTTTATCTCCTGGAAACTACAGAACAACCAAATCATGTAGAACACTAAGTCAAATGTAGCAGCTGGAAGAAGAAGAAAAAACCAGTTCATGGAAAGAAGGATTAACAAACCTCAACTCTCTGCCTAAGCACAAGATATCTTCCATGTGTTCTTTTGCCTCCAACATGAACAACCATATCACATTGCAAACAAAGGGAACTTCCATCTATCTCGCAATAAAAGAAAGCTACAAGTAGTTTCCAAGAAGATAGAATAAGTGTGAATTCTTTTTCTTTTCTTATTTTCGATTAACATAAAGACATATCAACAGGAAAATATACAAGCCAAAAAACGAAAACAAAAAAAGGCCAGCATACCAGGTGCATTTTCACAGATATCACACCGGGGAACTTCACTGGGAGTTGCAAGACCAACCCGCACATGTCGGCTAGCAAGCTTATTGCACATGTGGACCTGCCAGCCATAAGCTATTTCCATTGAAAATGGACAAACAAACAAAACTTTCTCTTCCAGGAAATTATGTAACCATTCTCAGTCACTAAGCTATTTCCAAAAGTAATTTTTTATTGAAAAGGATATATGCAATGTGGGAAAGACAAAAGGAAAGTAAACAACAGAGGAAACAAGAAATTACAAGGTTCTAGCAGTACAACCAATGCAATATGTTTGCTCCAAAAACTTCTTTACCTCATGTTAGTTAAGCATGGAAGCAACTAACAATTCAACCAGCAAGTAAAGGAGAGCTACAAATATAAACTCACCTGACTATATATAACAACCCAACAGCATATGGGGTTCAACTTGCACCCAGTAAACTAAACATATGAAAAACAGCCAAAGGTGTCTCAGGTTCGAAACCCAAGACATCTTGGTCGTGTGTGTAAGAAAACCCCCTCCCCTCTAGTTTAGATTGTCACTTGTACTAAAAAAAACAAGCAGTTCCTGTTCCCCTAGATTTTGGGCTTTAACATATGAATCTGCCAATTGGTTACTATAGAAGATTAAGAGCCAGATGGTAAAAAAGCAAACCTTCTCATCACAGGCACGGCAAAGAGCAGCCTCGTCCGCAGCGCAAAATACGATTGCAGCTGCGCTTTCACAAGAGTCACAAAGTGTTCGCATGATTATCCTCTTCCACTACTCTCATATTTCTACCCAACTAACACATATAAGATAAGCACATATGCAAAGCTCACATCTAATCAAAAACCCATATACAACAAACCAAAGCAGCAAATCACCAAAACCCAATTCACCAAAATCTACTTGTGTTGGTGATTTGGGATTTATCAAACAAACACTGATATCAAACTCACACTGTGGTTGAGATCAGTCATGAAGTCAATAATGAGGGGAAGGACCAGGAACAGGAAAAAGGATTAGGGTGAGATAAAAGTGGGTTATGTTTGGTTGGGTTGGCGTTTGTTGGGGAGATTCGAGAAGACAAAGAATAATAATATAAACAATCAAACAAACAAACAAACTATATAATAGAAAATTGATATGGGAAATTTGATAAGCAACATCATAAATACGTTGTTGGGGTTTGTCAACTTTGTTGGCTCCTCAAACTCAAAAGGCTCGCTCTTTGTCTCTCCCAAAGCTCAAAGCTCACACCTTGGCCACAAGTTTAAAGAGGCAGAGTGGGGTTGATATTCGATTGTGGCTCTTGGGCTCTTCTCACCCACCAGATGCATATCTGACGTGGGGTCCATTTCCTTCTGGTAAATATTGTTACTTGCTTGTTTTCATGGTCTCTCTTTGCTCTCCCATTTCGTTTTACAGCTCTCAAGCTCAACCAACGCCCTGCCGTTCACAGAGCATCTTTGGGGCCCTTTACATATATCTATCTATCCGTGCTACCTAAAACGGTCATATATATGGAAGGATGATAATCTGAGTGGACGGGAAGACGTGACACCATGAATGCTAACTATTCATGTCCCTTGAGGATCTGGCAACTCAAAAAGTATTTACAGCATTTGGGAAAAAAAAAAATTATAGCAGAAAATGAGTTGTATAAATATTCTACTTGAAAAATGATCTAACTTGCATATCAGTGGTCTCATATTAAATCTCATGACACTTTAATAGTGTGTGTGAGAAAACTACATTCTCTTGTAATTTATCGCTTGTATTTTCTGCAACATATCTAAATTCTCTTTAATATACTTGTGATTTTTCACCAAATAAATGATGTTAATTAAACAAAAATTGGGTTGGTGTGTTGAATTTTATTTTACTTTTTCTCTACGGTATGTTCATGTGGTTGAGAGTTGGGTCTCCTAATTTTTGTAGAATATAATATGAGAGTTGGGTCTCCTTTGTACAAAAACATATATATATATATATATAGAGTTCGAAATTTCATAAATGCAATAACCTTTTTAGAGTTATTTGAGAATTTCACTTAGCTTTATAATTACTTAAAACCCATTAAGTTAGCACGAACACAATACGAACACGAATGGTTTGAAATTTTATGACCTAATTATACAATGGGTACAAAGTGTAACACTAGCAAATTCCTAAAAAGACAAATATTTTTAAAGATTAATCTTTAAATCTTTAAAACAAAAGAAAATACATATTTCAAGAACTTTGAAACATAAGAAATTGAAATTTTTTTAAAATAAAGTGGAAGGGCTCAATTCCCAGGTTCGGGCCGGCCCGTTTACGGTCCGACAGTCGTTAAAAAAGGCGGCAGTCACTGACTCCTCTCTCAAAAACTCCAGAGTCGCAGAAATGGCCGTTTTCCCATACACAGAGAAACCACTGGGTCTACAAGCAAACTCATACCCTAAATTAAATTCCAATTTTGACCTCCAATTTCAATTGTACCGCCACTGAAAATGCTGAAACTTCTCTCGTCCTCCTCCTCATGCCTCCAGGCCCGAGTCCACGTTCAGGGGCATCGTCGAACCTGCATCAGACTATGTTCCTCAATTTCCATCTCCACAAATCCAAGCTCACAGCCCTTCAGCCTCCCAATCATTTCAGAGCTCATAGCAAAGCAACACTGGTCAGAGCTGAAAACCCACCTCAAAGACTCGAACTTTATCGCGGTTCTTCACCAACTGTTTGATGCAGGAGCTGACCCAGTTCTGATACTCAGGTACTTTAGTTGGTCGCAGAAGAATTTCAATGTTACACACCCTCTTGAACTCACTTGTAGACTTTTGCACTACCTAGCAAATGCAAAAAAATACTCAAAGATCAGAGCTTTCTTAGATGGATTTGTTAGAAACAATGAAAAGCATTCGAATTCTTCAATTTTTCACATGCTTTCAATGTGTGGCAACCAGTTTTGTGCAAATTCTGTTATAATTGATATGTTGGTGCTGGCAAATGTGAAAAATATGAAGACCCGTTTGGGTTTTGAAGCATTTCAGAGAGCTGGGGATTACGGGTTTAAGTTGTCAGTTTTGTCTTGTAACTCTTTGTTGAGTGCTTTGGTGAAGGAAAATGAAATTGGGTATGTTGAATATGTGTACAAAGAGATGGTTAGGAGGAGGATAGAGGCTGATTTGTTCACTTTTAGTATTGTGATTAATGGTTTGTGTAAAGTTGGGAAATTGAACAAGGCAAGGGATGTTACTAATGACATGAAAGCTTGGGGGATTTCACCAAATGTGGTTACTTATAATACTCTTATTGATGGGTATTGCAAAAAGGGTGGATTGGGGAAGATGCTCAAAGCTGATGCCATTTTGAAGGAGATGGTGGCAAATAATGTTCGCCCGAATGAGATTACTTTTAATATTTTGATTGATGGGTTCTGTAAAGATGAAAATGTAGCTTCTGCGGTTAAGGTGTTTGAGGAAATGAAGCAGGGTTTGAAACCGAATATGGTTACATATAATTCTCTGATTAATGGGTTATGTTGTAATGGGAAGCTTGACGAGGCTTGTGGTTTGTGGGATGAAATGCTTGGCTTGGGTTTGAAGCCAAATATAGTTACCTACAATGCACTCATAAATGGGTTCTGCAAAAAGAAGATGATGAAGGAAGCTAAAGAGTTGTTTGATGACATTATGAATGGAGGCCTGGCGCCCAATGCTATAACATATAATACGCTAATTGATGCTTACTGTAAGCATGGAATGATGGAGGAAGCATACGCATTGCATAATTCAATGTTAGAGAGAAGGGTTTCCCCAAACACTTCGACGTTTAACTGCTGGATTGCTTGTTTCTGTAGGCAGGGAAACATGGAATTAGCTAGGAAGTTCTTGCTTGAAATGGAGGTTAGGGGCTTGAAAGCTGATCCCATAACGTATAATTTATTAATAGATGCTTTGTGCAAAGAAGGGGAGTCAAGAAAGGCAGAAAGGCTCTTGAATGAGATGTTTAAAAAAGGTTTGAGTCCAAGCCACGTGACGTACAATACTTTGATGGATGGCTATTGCAGGGAAGGAAACCTGAAGGCAGCTTTGAATGTGAGGTTACAGATGGAGAAAGAAGGGAAACGGGCAAATATAGTAACATACAATGTGTTGATCAAGGGACATTGTATGAAGGGAAAGCTTAAAGTTGCAAATGAACTTCTCAATGAGATGCTGGAGAAAGGTTTGGTCCCAAATCGAACTACATATGAAATAGTAAAAGAAGAAATGATGGAGAAAGGTTTTCTTCCTGATATAGAGGGACACCTGTATAACATCTCTAGCTTTTAATCATCGAAATGAGAAATTGAATTGGTTTCACTCTCACCATAATCAAAATGTTTCTTCGATGTGAAGGGGCCATGCATGTATCCACATCTGCAAGTAATCAATATGTGACAGATGAAAAGAGGAGGAAAAACATCATTCAGTGGTTGCAAAATGCACTCTTGTCGCTTCTCCCACCTCCACTTATTCAGTTAATATTATTATCGCGATTCGATGTTGTGGTGGTTGACTACAGCAGAGGCATAAACTGTCACAAAGTTGGAGGACGGTATAACTTGTGACGTAACTCTCAGTCTCCTTTCAAAGACTATAACAAGGATGATGATGTATAGAGGCAACAATACTTGAGGTTATATTGACCTTCAGAGACTAGTTCCCTATGGAGCATAGACAAAGCTTTGTTCAGCGCTTGATGTTCTTGGAATATCTTGTTCCCTGGTTAGCAGATTTTCTGCAGTATCTGGTACAAACAAATTGCAAAGCCAGAAAGTGCTTGAAGAGCTAAGATGTATGTGTAAAGGTTGATATTAAAGAGCTCAATTCAAATGGCTTATTTGTAGAAACATTTCCAGTCAAGCACAAAGATAGGTATCTTCAAAACTTTTTTATCCATCTACCATCTGACCTTTATCTTAAGGCGTCCTGTATCCATACTGCCTTTTAACTCAATTTTTTGTTTCCAAGTGTATAAACATTTAAACTTGAAACTTGAATTAGTGAAGAAAGAGCGAAATCAGTAAGATATATATCGAACTACATATCGCCAAATTAACTCACACTATATTAAGGAGTTTCTTGCTTCAATAATATGAGCTTAATCACATGGCACATATTGGCCTCAAGAGATTAAGTATATGCATACACACAGTACAACTTAATCTTCCCCACAAATTCTTTATTACAAGCAGTAGAAAACCAATACAACTTGTCTTCTGACCAAGACACAAGTCACAATACCACACTATATAGACCCTGTAATACATTTGCAACATTTTTCTTCCAGTTGACAGAAAGGAGTGAGGCTTATCACTCCTTCTGAAACTTAAAATGAGAAGTTCATCATGTCCAGGCTCAAGCTTTCCATCATCACAGTTTCCATGAATCCACACTTATTGATCGATGCCTTCTTGAAACTACTACCTCTGGGTTTGAAGGCACAAGCAGAGATGGGAATGATTGGGATGTTCTCGCAGTTGCAGAGCTCGATCATATACCCGTCTGGGTCATGGAAGAACACCTGGTCGACCTTGACCCCATCGTCCTCCACCACGGCTGTCACGTACCTCATCGCCATGTCTTGCAGCCTCCTCTTAACAAGTCCAACATCAGTGCACTGCATGATCATAACCAAAACATATTTGTTATATTTAACCACAAATAACATTACAGGTTCTACAAGTACCAGTGCAGCTCTTACTTGGAAGGAGATGTGGTTGTCCTTGGGATTGATTGGCCGAGATTCATAGTCTTCCATGGCTGGACTTTCAATCAAGTGTATCCCGATCCCATAGTTATACAACCTACACAAGGTCAGAGACAGATTGATTTGTTATTTTCTTTTAAACGAACTTTGGAAAAGCATGCATTTTCTTTTCAAGAAGACAATCATAAATATTCAACTTTGCTGCGTATGAAAACAATTCCATACTATAAAAAGCATGTTCAGATAGAAAGAAAGCTAACCAGGCTCCATTGAAGTTGAAAGAAGAAGGGCGTTTGATGACAACAAAGCCCAAGACTTCTTCATAGAACCTCAAAGAATTCCACACCGATCTGCATAACAAAGACACATGATTTAAAGAGAGCAAAGGCAGTGCCTCGCAGTTGCTTAACTCCTCAATCTCCATTTGACACTCTTACTCTTATGACTCTCACTTGCACTTAGAATTCTCTCTTTGATTTCTTGTATGCCCTGCATCACAAGATTAGGGGAGGTGCCTTTTTATAAAGCCACATTTTGGTGCATCTTTTGAGTTCAATTCAATTTTTTGCACATTGTTCTTTGCTGTTGTGAGGAACTTTCCTGGCAGATTCTCTCAGATCATACCAGACAAGTTAAATTTAGTCATCCTCACAGCTACTGACCACTTTGACATATTGGGAGGGGTGGTGATATCCCTGAAGGCCACATCAACTATGTGTTAAACACAATAAAAAGGGTACTATTTTCTTTTTCTTTTTTTCTGTGCATTTTCTAACATGTTAAATCATGTCATCAATTAGCCACTGTTTAATTTTCATCAGGCAGATTATATCTCAAGGTATTTCCTAATCATCAATCATTTTGTGTGGTTGATTTCAAGTCCAAAGGTACACACAGTTTAGTTAGTATCCTAAAGCAAAAAACCAAAATATGAAATGGGGGCAAGCGTGCATTTTGACCCAACCTTTTCTTGGAACTTCAGGTAGTTCTTAGAAGCTTGTAAATCCAGGGAACTACAAAGATGCCAAATAATGAGAAGTTTCTGTGATGTTTCCTCTCTCCCACATGACGTTATCATCTTTTTTTCTTCCTATAAACTCAACAATCCAAAATAGACAGATAGGATGAGATATCATACACCAACAGATTGATCTGCCTTTTTTAAGAAACTTGTTGGACGGTGATAATCAAAATGTTTTGAATGTGTTCTGTGTCTCTTTTCTATATTTTGTTATGCATGTTTGAACAGACTAATTTGAGAAACAATGGGAAAGTGCTCATTGGGCTTGTGGTTTGTATGAGTTTAGATCCATTATGCCTGGTTTGGTTCCTATAAATTATGTTTGTACTTGTTTGCTGTCTCTATTGGACTTTGTCACTTGGAGAGCATGCTAACAAATATTCCTAGAACTTGCAAATAATGGGATCCCAATTCACCCACACGTTTGTTTTTTCCACAGGCAGCCCAATCATCTTTTAAAAATTCTGAGTAACCCAATTTGGTCTCATCAAGCATTTTACCATATATCTTTATCTTGTCAGTAGAGGCCAGTTGAAACAGTCTCCACCTGCATTTCCTAATTTCTTTTGCCTCCAGCGGCGGCGGAGGTTGCCGTACCCGCATGGGCCTGAATGGTTTTCTCATTCGTTTGGTTTGGGCTTTTCTGGTTCTTTTTTCTTCCGTTCGTTTTGCTTGTTTGGGTTTTCTTTTGTTATTTTATTTTGTTGGGCCAGTTACTTGATCTCCCATGTTGTGCAATGAGCCCATACTCAATGACTCCTTCAACATTGTTTTTCTCTTCTTTTTTGTTGAATAAAAGACCCTTCAACGATGAATTTTTCTTTCAATTCAAGCAATTGAGGAAGAGGGGTTTACACACAAATATTTATTGGGTGTCTAGGGATTTTGAACCTCTGTCCACATGGATAGAGATATAAGAGTTCAACTAACTGAGCTATACACCACAAATTAATTTCAACAATGAAATTTAGTTGAAGCATCCCTAATAGGACTTCATTAACTAGGGTTAATTTCATTTTAGTAAAATAAAAATATATTTTGAATATTAGGAATTGATCATAAATACTGTGTTGGGTTTGCTAGTCATCCATCAAATTAAATATGAATCGGTTTTGCCTATGCACTGGCTGTTAGGTTGGGAGTGACATCCTTAACCAAATAATTTACTTTTTGCTAGTTGAAACGCACATACAAAAATTGAAATCCACACAAATATATAGTTATTTTCTGATTTGGATATTATAAACATATTTATATATTTTATATAGTGAAGTAGGTAATGGGCTAATGGTGCCATTAATTATGCCCAATTCCAATTCACTCGCAGCCAATTTCTAGTGGAACAGGTAAAATTAGATTTTAAGTTAGAAGGTACATATAGCTAGCTGGTTAAATAATGTCCTCCCAATTTTAATATATTAATCCAATATGGATGAGCTTGATTATTTACCACAATCATTCAGAAGAGTGTTGGAATTAGTTGGGTTTTCGTTTTCAATCCTGGACAGATTTTTCTGATCTCGGGGAAAGTAAGATGGATTTTTGTGTTTGTTACTCATCTCAATCAGTCTACAGAAGTCTTAGGTTTCTTAAACTATATGTGTCTATGACATTCTATCATGGCTCATGGGAAGGTGCAAGGAATTAATTAAAGATTTTATATATCCAAGATTAACGTAAGACAACGTGTCATTACTCCACGGCTTTATAGGTCCACTTAATTGAGGTTATCTCGAATATCATTGCTAATTATGTGTAGTGTAGACCATAGTTAGGTGCCCCAAATAATGGTTTATCAAATAATTGCTAATTTACTTTAGGTGTGCCAAACTATCATTGCTAATTTACTTCAGGTTTGTCAAATAATGGTGTTTAATAGATACATGTTATTTTTCAAGGCACGACACTTGAAGCTTGTTTTATGGGGAGGACTAGACTAGAACGGACTAGATTAACAACCAAGGCATAATATGGATATTGTTGTCTAACTTTGGAGGAAGAATGAGTACTATTCATAAGAGGTTGATGACTAAAACTTATCCCTCATAATTCCCGTTTCCAAGAGATTAGGGGGGGCACTAAAAAAATAAAGTGTCAATAGTCACCAAATATCACCAAATAATTTTGTCATCCAATGTCACCAAATAGTGGTGATTGTTGCCAATTTTTTTTTAGTGGGGTTAAATTTTAGTCATCAATTTCTTATCGATAATCTTCATTCTTTTTCAAAGTTAGGCAACATATGCATATTATACCTTAAATGCATGTAAAATATAGGTATTATGCTAGTCCAATCTAGTCTAAAGTTCAACAAAAACTACTGGCACTCGTATTTTTCTAATTAAGCGAGAAAAAAACTTCAAAACATGTGGTCTAAAAGAAAGGGAATGGGATATTTTGGTATATTTAAATGGCTAGTATTAAGAATTTGAGTTTTCTATAACCTACTCCATGTAATTTATTTATTTTTATCGAATATGATGGGTTCAAAATAACTTGTATACAATTTTCTGTTAAAAACTCGAACATGCTCCAGATTTCATGACAAAGAAAATAAGTCGCTTAAAAAAACTAGCTTGTTTTGTTTTCAGCACTGACAAAGAGAAAAACAAAAACAAAGAAATTACAAAAAGTGGCCCAAATGAAATGAGAGCTAAAAATAAACAAGTATCACTGTCGGCAACAATATGGTGCCACTGCACATGCAATGCTATGCCTTCTTCTTCTGGTCGAATGAATTTGCATGCACATTATCTACTATATATATTCATAGATTTTATTTGGGCCTTCCATTCCATTTTAATTAATTTAATTAATTTCTTTTTACTTTTCATATCTTTTTAATTAATTAATTAATTCTTTAGAGTCTTTTAGAGCTAAGACAAATGCATGGGTCCTGCTATTCGAAGAGGGACGAATTAATGTTTATGTTAAGCAAAGAATTAGTGGTTTGAAGTAATTGCTCATTCAGGCAAGATTTTGGGTTCGAATTTTAGGATTCATAGTGTGTGTGAGTGTAGTATATCATCCCGAAAAGCTGGAAAAAAAAAATTACTAAGCTTTTCTTCCACATGGGCTGTCTCACTACATTCATGCTGCATTATTCTTCTTCTTCTTTTTCATGGTCAAAGGTAAAGCGGTCCCCATACTCTTCGTTTTGCAGCTTTTTGTTTGCCTCACACTTGGAGAGGGAGAAATTATAAAAACCTCGAAGCAGCTGAGCTGACATTTATATAAATTTGTTTATTATAAAAAGCTTGCATGGCCGCGCATGCCACAATAAGCTGCTTTTCTTCATATATATTTTCTTCTGAGATATAAATACATATATATATAGCTTCTGTATATATAAATATAGTACACCGGTCACACAACTAGGGGCTCCATCAACAAACCCTAGCTCATGTGTGAGGGTGAAGTTTAGGGTCAAGGGTTGAACTAAAGATCATTTTCATAACCAATAAATAATAATTGGACGGTTTTAAACGAAGACTATTTAAGAGAGCTTATGAAAAGTCAAAGGTAGAGAGCTTATGGATCTATGACATAGGACTTTATAATATCAAAAATCAAGTAGTAACAACAAGAGCTAATAAGGGTTCATCTATATATATAAAGCAAAAGGCAGAGAATGGAGAAACATTCAAAATACCAGAAAATGCCTTTGGTTAATGCAAACATTAAGAATTGAAATTATTAATTAAATGAGGATAATATAGTAAATTCACACTTTTTTATATTTTAAAAAATAAAAATAAAAATAAAAATCAGATAATGGATCATATTTTTATGGAACACAACTACACATTATCTTTTTTAATTCTAAAATAAATTTAAATTTTTTTAAAAAAAGCCTCTCGCAAGCGCGGAAGCGCGTGCAAAGAGGCTAGTTATGCATAAGTAAACTTTCCATATTTGCCTCTGATTGCTCGACGCAACGTGTGTGACACATATTTCTCATATTTGGCGAATTATTATATACTAGCCCCTTGCCACACGCTCACGCGTGTGCCAATTGGTTTTTTTGTTTTTAGAATTAAGAAAAGAAAAAATGGGTAGTTATTTTCCATAAAAGTAGGATCCATTATCTGATTTTGTTTTTATTTTTAATTTTGTAATTGTGAATTTACCATATTATCCTCATTTAATTAATAATTTCAATTATTAATGTTTGAATTAATCAAGGGCATTTTCTGGTATTTTGAATGTTTCACCATTCTCTGCCTTTTGCTTTATATATATAGATTATTATTTATCAATGAATAAACTACTCTCACTCAATCTTATAAAAGTCATTCGTATTTATTCATTTATGTTTTTCTTTTTCACTTTAAAATTTTAAGTCAAATATTATGAATATGTTATTTCATTAACGTTAAATTTTTTAATTTGGGTTTAACGTGGACGGTCGAAAGCTTTTTTGGACTTTTACTTGGAAAGTTAAAAGGGTCATGTGCGCCACCGAATTTACGGTGACCATTATTTCAATGCTTTAGCCGTGGCTGC